CCCGGGTTTGGGCGCCCTTCACCGGTTTGGGGGCGCTCCCCCCCCCCCCCCCGGGTTTTAAAACTCCCCCGGCAAAACCCCGCTTTTGGGGGGGCCCCCCCCCCCCCCCCCGGTTTGGAAGACTCCGCCCTCGGGAAATTACCGGTTTTCGGGCCCCCCCCCCCCCCCCCCTGCTCTGAAGCCTCCGCACATCACCGCCTTCCCGCCCCCCCCCCTGCTCTGAAGCCTCCTCCGCACTCCGCACATCACCGCCTTCCCGCCCCGACGTCGGCGTATGCACCACGCAGGCCCGCACCTCTCTTCTCTGCTACCGCACCACCCATGGGAGAGAACCCACACTGGATTCGAGACTCTGGAGGTGTGGTACACGCAGGCTCGCAACTCTCTTCTCTGCTACCGCACCACCCATGGGAGAGAACCCACACTGGATTCGAGACTCTGGAGGTGCGGTACGCAGGCTCGTCACCTCGTGCGCCGGTGGCGGCGTCGCGCTCTGGCGCCTCGACGAGGAGGAGGTGGTGGTGCACCGGCTGCTGGCGGGACACTTCCAGGACACGTCGTAGACATGTCCGAGGCGTGTCCTACAGGGCTCCGAGCGGCGGCTGACCCGCTTCGACGGCCACACGGCGCCCGTGGTCTGCGTCGACGGCGGCTTGCAGAGGGGTGGCGCGCCGAGATGCGCCGAGATGCCGCGAGATGACGCGAGATCACCCGAGAGTAGGCGACGCGGAGAAGGTCGTCTCGGGAGCTCGAGACGGGACCGTGCGCGTGTGGGACATCTCCCTCGGCCGGCTGCGCTTCATGCTGCAGGGCTTCACGCCGTACATCGGGTCCGTCCAGCTGTCGTCCTCGTGGCTGATGGCGGACGGCACCAACAACGCGGTCGTCATGATGGACTTTAGCAACGGCGAGCCGGCGGAGGAGGAGGACGACGACGACGAGGACGGCGACGAGGAGGAGGAGGAGGAGTGACCAAAGGTGCGTGAGTGAGTGAATGAATGCGACCCAATAAAATTCCTCCTCGCTGTCCAATTTGGCCGTGGAAAAAAGTCGACAGAGTTAAGTTCGACGTCGTCGTGCGACGGCCGCGAGGGCGGAGAGGGCCGCGGGCCGGGGCCGCACCCCGACCCCCCCCCTGCCCGCGCGCGCCGCGGCGCCCCGCTCCAAGTACCAAGAAGCAAGTCACCAAGTGCCCCCCCTGCGGCGCCCGCCCCGCCCCCACGCCGCGGAGGCCTCCTAGAGGGGTCGTTGTGTGCGAGTTTATGGGACACGTAGAGAGAAGAGACTACGAGGTAGCGCTGCCAAACGTTGGGAGCTGAACACTGCCATGCGACCCACTTTGCGGAGGCGAAATAGCGCACGAGCTGTTCACCGGAGCGAGAGACACTGCCAGCCCTGCCGCGCCGTGGTGGTGGCGTAGGTGCATTTCGATGGTGGCGATGTTCTCCGCCGGCGTCTTGGTGGTGCTCAAGCTCGCGCGCTCGATCCAGCACGCGACTTGCCGCTGCCGCAATCGGTTTGTCTCAGTCCACGTCACGCTCGCCATGCGCTCGAGCCCCGCCTGGACGTTGGAGTGGCTCACTACCGCATCGGTATGCTGGAAGAGCGAGCGCGCGAGCGTTAGCACGGGCGTGCCCGTGTAGAAGTTGTCGACGAGCGTGCCGCCATTGAGTGTGACTGTGAACCTTGCGTGCGTGGTGAGGAGATTGATCGAGGAGCTCGACTCGAAGAGCAGCCAGCCGCAGGCGCTCTCGTTCAGCCTCAGAAGGAGGCGACGCTGCTGGGCCTTCTCCGGACCGTCGATCGCAGGGTGGATCTTGACGACGAGCGGCAGCGTGCGACTGGAGCAGTACGAGCAGGTCTGGTTGAGAAGATCAGGGTATGTGATGTGGCTGAACTTGTTAACCGAGACGTCGTCGAACTTCTGCGTGGGCACGAAGACGTAACGGCTGTTGAAAACATGCGCCGGCACGTCGAGTATCGATTGCTGCGGCCGCTTGCTCGAGTCCAGCTCCAGGTGGCGCTGCACGAGCAAGCGGCAGCGCGAGTCGTCGTACCCACGCTGCACGAGACTGTTGAGCGATCGCACGTAGAACGAATCTCCAAGCAGGCCGCGAGGGTCGACGATCACGGTGCCGCGCGTGAAACCATTCTCGTAGACAACTCTCGGCACGGCGCGAAAGTAATTCCCGTTGTAATTCGACCAGAGAATGGCAACGTCAGTCCGTCCCGATGGTCGACAGGGAGCTCTCATTCTGAGATTGTCCGGCTTCCCACGCTCGCACTTCTGAGTGCCAAATTCGCGGATGAGGTTCTGCAGCAGGCTGGAGTTCCTCACTCTTTGCACCGCTCTCACCGTCCCTTGATTTATCGGGAGCATCTGAACGCAATGCCCGCGCAGCTTCAGCTCACGCGCCACTTGTATGAGCGTTGTCCATCTTGGATCGCCCAGTTCGCTCGCTATTGAGTCCGGGTTGAAAATGTAGGCGACGGTAACGTGTAGCGACATTCGCCGCTCTTCCGCATGTCGCCCGGTGCCGGCGCGGAAAACTTGTCTGCGCGGCAGCAAGCAAGCGCGCCCCCCCCCGCGAGCGCAGCCCAGCGGTAACACACCGTCCCAAATCCGAATAGTCGACAAGCCAGGCAGTTTTTCTTGTTTACTTGAGCACTGGATAGGGTCGATTCCGCATGGTACGGGACCCCTCGATCGTCTCGCCCTCCCTCACTGGGGTGTTCATGGGGGGGGGGTCATAACAAACACGGTACAGGATCGAGGTGCACGCTGCAGAAGCAGTGTCGTCCCCCCTCTCTCTCTCTCCCCGACGGCGATGGCGGTGTGACCGATCGAGCTACAAGAGGAACTTGTTCAGCAGGATCCGGGATAGTCAGATGCACTACCTCACTGGGCTCGAGACCACCGTACGACAGCATCCCGTCACCCCTCCGGATTTGTGTGGGGTCGAACCACTCCGGGATGGGCAAGTTTTTCTTGAGCACTTGAGCACTGGATAGGGTCGATTCCGCATGGTACGGGACCCCTCGATCGTCTCGCCCTCCCTCACTGGTATGTTCATTGGGGGGGGTCATAACAAACACGGTACAGGATCGAGGTGCACGCTGCCGAAGCAGTGTCGTCCCCCCTCTCTCTCCCCGACGGCGATGGCGGTGTGACCGATCGAGTTTTTCTAAGTAATATGCCGAAGGTTTGACGGCCGCGTTGAGCTAGGGGGAGCGTGCGGCTCCGCGGGCGACGCTCGCCCAGTCCTTCTTGTTGCTCTTGACCTCGCCGCCGCCGCCGCCGCGGCCGCGGCCGCCTCGCCCGCGCCGCCCGCGGCTTGTGCCCAGCCTGACCGCGCTCGGCATGCGCTCGTAGATGGTGTCCTTGAAGGCGGAGTGGAGGAGCGCCTCGAAGTTGACGCACGGCGCGTAGCGGCAGCGAGTGGCGGTCTTGCACGGGAGGGCGGTCTGGTTGTAGGCCGGGCAGAAGCCGATCCCGTCGCGCGCCGCCATCGCCTTGGCCTTGCCAGCCGCGCGCGCGACCTCGACCTTGTTGTCGACGATGAGGCTCTCGAAGGTCTTCTTCTTGGCGACGTTCGCCGCTGCGGCGCGCCGCTCCTTGAGTGCCTGCGCGCCGCACTGCGCGTCGTGGATGATCTCGCCGCTGGTCGTCGCAAAGGCGCGGCACGATGGGCAAAGCTTGTTCCCGAGCACCTTGACACACCCGACGTCGAGGCGGAGGGGTCCGCCGACATCGCCGCTCGCGTAGACGTTGGGCAGGACAGGGAGGTTGCAGACGAGGTTCTCGTTCTTGACCTTGAAGAGGATCGAGCCGTCCTTCTCGTCCGACTTCGTGCCGAGGAAGGAGTGATATCCCTCCTGGATGGAGACCACGTTGCCAAAGTGCTTCTCAAAGAGGGGGGCGAAGTGCTCGATCTGGGCCGCGGTGTTGATGGCGCCGCGCGTGCGTATGGCGAGGAGGCCGTCGGTGTCCGTGGTCGCCTGGGTCTCGCGCGCCTCCGCCTGCTTGCCCCACACGGTGGCGTCGAGAGCGGCGAAGGTGATGGTGATGTTGTCCGGAGCTGGGAGCTGTAGGACGCCACCGCCGGCGTACTGCTCGAGGAAGGCGCGTGCCTCGCTCTCGCCGTTGAAGGCGACGCAGATGGCGCGCGACGTGCCGATGACGGGCACGCTGTTTGGCGTCGTCGACGTCCATGCGCGCGCTCTCGAGCTCGCTGTTGAGGCGGCGCTTCACGCCGGTCGTCTGACCATCGTTGGTCGGTTGCGCGCCGTCGCGGCCGCGCGCCGCGCCCTCGGCAGCGGCAGCGTTGAGCGCCGGCGGCGGCAGGCCGGCCGAAGCGAACGCCATTCAAGTGAAGCGCCGTTCAAGATGAGGTGGTTCGCAGGGAAAGGGCGTAAAGTAAGCGCCAGCAAGATTTTTTTCTTCGCGATGTCCACCCCGCCGCGCCGCTCGCGCCGCTCGCGCCGCCTCGCCGCCGCCTCCGCCACCGCCCCCTCGCCAAGCACGCCGCCGCCCGCCCGCCTCCTCGACCTCCCCAGGGAGCTCCTCGAGCGCGCCCTCTCTCGCTGCGACAGCCCCCTCGACATCGCTCGCGTCGCGGCCGTCTCGCTGCTCTTCCACGCCTCGCTTGCGGTGGAGGCCATCCGCTTGTGGGCGCAAGAGCGTGGCTTCGAGCTGCCGGCGCAGCCGGAGGGCGAGAGCTGCGCCGTGCGGTGGCTGTGCTATGCAGCGTTGCTGTGGGAGTCCAACCCGCCGGCGAGGGCGGCGGTAGGCCAACGGCACAGCGTCTTCATCGACGGCGAGGGGCGGCTCTCGTCGTGCGGCTCTGCGCCATCCTTCTTTCCAGCCCTGCTCGGCCACGGCGAGGGTGTGACGCGGCTCAACATGCCGACCCGCCTCCCTTCTTCCCCGCTGGGCGGCGAGCATGCCGTGAGCGTGTCGGCTGGAATGTACCACAGCCTCGCCCTCACCGCCGACGGCGTCTGGAGCTGGGGCGGTGGAGACTATGGTCAGTTGGGCCACGGCGACCATCAGCACCAGCTGCTGCCGAAGAAGATCGAGGCCTTTGCTGACCAGCGCGTCGTCGCCGTGTCGGCTGGAGGCATGCATAGCCTCGCCATCACCGCCGCCGGCAGCGTCTGGAGCTGGGGCTATGGAGACTTTGGCCGGCTGGGCCACGGCGACGCGCAGCGCCAGCTCCTGCCGAAGAAGATTGAGGCCTTCGCTGGCCAGCGTGTCATCGCTGCGTCTGCTGGAGCCGGGCACAACCTCGCCATCACCGCCGACGGCGGTGTCTGGAGCTGGGGCTATGGAGCCTTTGGCCAGCTGGGCCACGGCGACGAGCAGCACCAGTGGCAGCCGAAGAAGATCGAGGCCTTGGAGGGCCGGCGCGTCGTCGCTGTGTCTGCTGGAGACCACCACAACCTCGCCCTCGCCGCCGACGGCAGCGTCTGGAGCTGGGGCAAAGGAGCCGATGGCCGGTTGGGCCACGGCGACGAGCAGAGCCAGCTGCTGCCGAAGAAGGTCGAGGACTTCGCTGGCCAGCGCGTCTTCGCTGTGTCGGTTGGGCGGTACCACAGCCTCGCCCTCACCGCCGATGGCTCCGTCTGGAGCTGGGGCGGTGGAGCCTCTGGCAAGCTGGGCCACGGCGACCAGCAGGAGCAGCTGCTGCCAAAGAAGGTCGAGGCCTTCACCGGGCAGCGCGTCGTCGCTGTGTCATCGGGAGATCGCCACAGCATCGCCCGCACCGCCGACGGAGCCCTCTTCTCGTGGGGCCAGGGCGAATGCGGCTGCCTAGGCCACGGAGAGGACTTGTCGAACCAGCTGCTGCCGAAGAAGGTCGAGGCGTGTGCGCCGGGGCGTGGTCGGTCTGACTCTGAGCAGGGTCCAGGGAAGGCGGATGTCGCGTGAGAGTGCGTCGAGAAGCGAGGCGCTTGCCCCAGCCACCACGTTGTGTGTGTGGAGAAGTTTGCCTAAACTCAAAAAAAACTGGGCGTAGGCGGACGTAGGCTCTAGCCGCAGCCCCAACTCTTGCCGCTCTTCCGTGTCGGGTTGTGACGAGGGGTGAGGGGACACGGATTGAAGATCCCTCACACCAAGATCGTGCAGGGCGGGGACACATGTCCCTAAATCCCATCTCGTCTCAGAGTTTGCCCGTTTTATTTATTTATTTAGGCTCACGTCCGACACGCGACAGCAGGAAGCGAAAATGGGGTATACAACAAAACGTGCCGCAGGCGCAGACAGGCAGGGAGAACGTGAAGCGGATAAAACTCGCGCCGCAGGCTCAGACAGAGGCACGCGTGGAGAACGGGGGTGCGGTGAGCACCTACAGTCACACAACACACGTACCGTAGCGCCCAGGCGCAGTCTCCGCAGACAGACAGGGAGAATTAAGAGGACAAAACACAAAACTCGCGCCGCAGGCGCAGACAGGCAGGGAGAACGGGGAGCACAAAACGTACCGCAGGCGCAGACAGGCAGGGAGAACGGGGAGCACAAAATCTACAGCAGGCCTGGCGAGGCACTCCCACGCCTCTCGGGGTTCGCCAGCAGCAGGCGCAGACATGCAGGGAGAAGGGGAGGGGACAAAACGCTTGCGCCGCAGGCGCGCAGGCACAGCTTGTCTGGCCAAACGCTTCCAGTGCTAGCTAGTGAACATGCGTGGAGGTGGTGGTGCGAAATGGTGGTGGTCAGACGATCTGGCTCATCTGGGCATGCGGCGCTGCCGACTCTTCGCAGGCTTAGGCAAGGTCCTCGCCACTCGACGGCTCCGTCTTTGAAGAGGAGCCGCGGGGCTGCGTCGTTCGAGCGAGGGCGGTGACGCGGCGAACGCGCGACTGAGCCGTCTGCTTGGTCGCGCCGAGCGCCTGTGCGAGGAGGGCTATCGACACCTGCCGGTGCGGGCCAGCGTGGCAGCCGACGGCGAGGTCATGGTACAGCCCATCGGCGATCAGGTCGCGCGGCGTCACCTCGAAAAAGTGGGCAAAGATGCAGCCGCCGCGGACGGCATCATTCTCGTGCGCCATGACGATCGGCAGCCTGGCCTCGCGCGCGGCGCGCACCTGCTCTGCGAGCGCCTCGGCGCCCTCGCCGGCCCACGTCGCCTTGTTCAGGTAGAGCAGCATGTGGGTCGCCTCGTCGCCGCCGCTGTCGCTCGCGCGAGGCAGCGAGGAGAGGAGCGAGGGAATGGCGTCGGTGACAGAGATGCTGCCAGCCACGGCCACCGCGACTGCATTGGCAAGCACTCGCGCCCCGGCGTTCAAAGTCGAGGCCCAGAGAACCACCGGCTTGGGGAAGGCGAGGTCGTCGGCTCGAAGCTCGCCCGGGACGCACATTGGCAGCTCCTTTTCGCCCTCGTACTTTGGCGTCTTCAGCAGCAGCGCCTCGGCGATGACCTTGAGCGAGACGTGCTGGAAGGCCTCGATTCGATGCCACACCACCATCGGCCAGCCGGCGTCAAAGATGGCGGCCCGCAGCTCCTCGGGGCACTCGGATCGCAGCTCGGCGAGCGTGCCTCCGCCCTTGTCCGGGTCTGCCTCGTGGACGAGCACGAGCGGCTTGCCCATCTCCAGCGCGGCGCGGATCTCTCGCAGGCAGTTTGTCGAGCGTAGGTAGCCCCGCGAGAGGAAGCAGAGCACCACCTGCGAGCGACCAATGTACGCCTCCAGCTCTCCGATGTTTTTGAGGTCGTCGACATCGAGGAAGATCTCGCAGCCGGGCAGGAACTGCAGAAGCTCATTCTTGATTACGGCGACGGCGTCCTACAAGGGAGGAAGGCCAGGTCAGGTCTTCTCCACACACGAAAACTGGCGGGGCAAGGGAGTGCCAAACCTGCCCCGTGCTCCAGACATGGCTGAGGAAGAGGTGCCACTGCTGGCCGTCGGCGAGGGTGATGCCGTCGCGCATCGGCTCGCGTTTCGACGAGGCGAGCCGCATGGTCTTCGCCCTCGTGGCGCTGACCGCCGATACGAGGATGACGGCTAGCGAGATGGCGAGCATGACCGCGGTGAGGACGACGACAAAGGTGGTGGCGCTGCGCGAGGTCTTGTAGCCGACGAGATTGTAGCACATGCCTCCGTACATAGTGCTGTCGCACAGCTGCGGCGGCGGAGGGGGCGGGTGGTGTGAGGTTGCGCGGAGCTGTGAGAGAGGGACAGCGTCGGGCGCGGACCTGGATGACCACTCCTGACGCGAAGCAGCACGTGAGGAGCAGGTTGGCGATGCAGGCCAGGTAGAGGTCGTCGGAGCGCCGGTAGGGACGGGCGAGCGCTAGCAGAGTGAGAAACATGGCCGAGACGATGCCGGCGACCACGGTGCGCAGCAGCTTCCTGGAGCCGTACTCCTGGTCGATGAAGAGCACCATCGAGGTGAGGAAGATCTTGCGGACCAGGTCGAGCACCTCCCAGAAGAGGAAGCCGGCAGAGTAGTCCCGCCAGAGGAAACTCGTCGCGCGGGAGAGCGGCGTAGCGCGCTGCGCAGCCACGGGCTTGTGGACGCGGAGCAGCAGCGCCAAGAAGCCGAGCGGCACGAGGACGGGCCAGAGGGCGAAGAAGGCCCAAAAGTACGGCGCGAGTCCGCTAGTCTTGTCGTCCCACGTCGGGCCGTCGTCGCACGTGAGCGAGGGGTCGGCGAGCAGGTAGCTGATCCGCTGGCCTGTGGCGTCGTCGTAGCCAAAGGACTCGCACAGCCTCGCGCTGAAGATGGAGCGCGAGACGGAGGGAAGCGCGAGGTAGAAGATGAAGATCGCCCAGTAAAGGAGGCGGCCGAGCAGCTGGTGGTCGAATGCCTGCTCGACGTTGGGAACCGCCGCCGCCGCCACAATGGCGAGCGACACGAGGGCGACGGCGACGTACGGCCAGATCCCTGCGACGAGCAGCCGCGTGCTCATGGCTCCGAGGCAGCGGCCGGGGATGGCAACATCGAACAGGTCCAGGCTGAACAGCTTGAGCATGTTGAGCCAGCGCGTAAAGTGCTCGTCAAGGCGGACGCCGTAGACGACGCCGAGGATGCTGCTCACCTGGTAGAAGCTGACGAGGACCTTGAACTTGGGCTGCAGGCCGACCGCGGACTCGATGCGGGTGGCCCGCTGCCGGAGGCGGCGGGAGAGGGGGAGGCGGCGGAGCCCAGCGTAGGCGGCGGCGAGCACAGCGATGACGATGACAAAGAGGAGGAAGACGCTGACGGAGCGAGCCGTCGAGGGGCAGGCGACGCAGCGCCCCGCGGCAGAGCTAAAGTAGTCCGAGTCCGCGACGCAGACCTCGCAGAGCGGGCCGGTGTGGCCGGCGGTGCAGTACGGGTCGTCATCTCCGTCGGTGAGGTGGCGGCGGCGGGAGGGCTGGCCGGAGCCACCAGAGCACGTCTCTGAGTCACAGTGGTGAAGCTCCGAGGTGGCGTTGGAGGCGCGCCAGTAGCCGACGTGCACGCCGAGGGACGCGAGAGCGGTACCGGCGCTACAGTTGGCGTTGGGTGGGCACGGCTTGCAGTGCTCGGTTGGGTTCTGGAAGACGTCATCCGGGAGGGCGCTCGCGTCCTTCAAGTAGAAGTCGTTTTTGCAGATGGAGCAGGTGACATCGCCGCTCTTAGAGCTGAGGGGGTGGGGGCAGGGAGTGCACTGCGAGAGGCCGTCGCTCGCCGCGTAGGTGCCCGCCTCGCACTCCTCGCAAGCGGTAGTGGAGGCTGCGAAGTTGCCTTTCGGGCACAGCTCGCACGTGGACATGTTGGCTGACGAGGCGATGCTGCCTGGAGAGCACACGGCAGGCGCGGCGCCACCTCCTGCGCACGACGAGCCGGCAGGGCAGGCGAGGCACTCGGGGTCGCCGTCGGCGTCCGTCACGTTGGCGGACGTGCCCGCCTCGCACTGCGCGTCCAGCTCGCGCGACGAACCCAACGGGCAATACTTGCCAGACGCGCAGCGGACGCAGGCGGCCTGGCCGGGCTCGCTCTGGTAGTAGCCCTGGGCGCACAGCTCGCACTCACTCTGCCCGGGGCTGGCGCCAAAGCTCCCGGCGCGGCAGCTTTTGCACGTGCCGCTGCTGTTTGCGCCGGTGGTCGGGCTGAAGGTTCCGAGGGGGCACTGCTGACAGGCATCGGACGAGCTGCTGCCCTCCTCCTCATTGTACGTCCCCGCACGGCACGGCGTGAAGCCGCCGCCGCATTCCTCGGTATTATCGCAGAACCCTCCCGCGTCACACCTGTCGCATGAGGTTTGCCCGCGCTCTGGCTGGAATCGGCCGGGGGGGCACTGTTTGCACTCGGTCCGACGCGTCTCGTTTTGGTATCGGCCCGCAGGACACTCGAGCGCTTGAACGGTGCCTATGTGCCGGCAGAAGCTTCCCGCGGGGCAATCCGTACAGCCCGTCGCGTTGAGCTGGTTCGCGAATGTGCCGGCCGGACAGGCGTCACAGCTGTCTGCGCCAGGATTGGACTGGCTGTGCCCCGGAGAGCACGGGATGCACGACTCGGCACTGGCTGCGCCGGTGACGGGCATGTAGAAGCCCGCTGCGCAGGGTGTCGGTGTCACTGTGCCCTCAAGACAATACCTGCCCTGCGGACACGGCCCACCGCACGTGGGGGTGATGTGAGAGGTAGTTGTCCCCACTGATCCCGCCGCGCAGAGGTTGGCGCAGCCCTCAAAGTCGCCCGAGACCTCTCCGACTGTTGACGACCACTGACCGAGGTTGCACTCCCAAGTGATGGCTGAGGGAAAGAAAACGGTGCTCGTGCTGTTTCCCACGAACCGCGTGCTGCTCAACGTCGACACCGCGTCAAAGGTCGGGCCAGACTCGTATGCGATGGCAGCGCCGACGGTGGCGTCGGAAACGGTGGCGTCGTTTCCGACGAAGGCGGCGCCTTGGATGGCAAACGTCGCGGCGCGGACAAAGAGTCCACCGCCCGATGCCGAGGCGCTGGAGGTGGCCGCGCACGCTGTGATCGTGGAGGAAGTCAGGGCGTGATCGCCAGATCGCAACGAGAGCCCACCGCCGCTCGCGCGCTCGTGGCCGACGGCGGCGCAACGAGCGACGGTGACGGATGTCAACTCGACGTGGGGCGGGAGCTGCGGGTCACGCTGCAGGTACAAGTAGGATATTGGCCAAGCGCGCAGCGCACCATCGTAGCCGACAGTGGCGATGCGGCTCCCGTCGGGCGAGTAGGCGACCGAGATGATGATGGGGCTGCTGCGCGCGTTCAGCCTCTGCAGAGGCGGCGAGGACAGGTCCGAGGCGTCCCACACGCGCAGCGCATTGTCGCTGCCGACCGTGGCGATGCGGCTCCCATCGGGCGAGTAGGCGACCGAGGTGATGCTGATGCTGTGTGCGTTCAGCTTCTCCAGAGGCGGCGAGGACAGGTCCGAGGCGACCCACACGCGCAGCGCACTGCCGCCGACCGTGGAGATGCGGCTCCCGTCGGGCGAGTAGGCGACCGAGGCTCGAGCTTGCCCAAGCGAGATGCTGTCGCTGTGTGCATTCAGCTTCTCCAGAGGCGGCGAGGACAGGTCCGAGGCGTCCCACACGCGCAGCGCCTTGTCGTAGCCGACCGTGGCGATGCGGCTCCCATCGGGCGAGTAGGCGACCGAGTAGATCCGGCTGCTGTGTGCGTTCAGCCTCTGCAGAGGCGGCGAGGACAGGTCTGAGGCGGCCCACACGCGCAGCGCATTGTCCTTGCCGACCGTGGCGATGCGGCTCCCATCGGGCGAGTAGGCGACCGAGTAGATCCGGCTGCTGTGTGCGTTCAGCCTCTGCAGAGGCGGCGAGGACAGGTCCGAGGCGCCCCACACGCGCAGCGCCTTGTCGTTGCCGACCGTGGCGATGCGGCTCCCATCGGGCGAGTAGGCGACCGAGTAGATGCCGCTGCTGTGTGCGTTCAGCCTCTGCAGAGGCGGCGAGGACAGGTCCGAGGCGTCCCACACGCGCAGCGCCTTGTCGTTGCCGACCGTGGCGATGCGGCTCCCATCGGGCGAGTAGGCGACCGAGATGATGCCGCTGCTGTGTGCGTTCAGCCTCTGCAGAGGCGGCGAGGACAGGTCCGAGGCGTCCCACACGCGCAGCGCCCTGTCGTAGCCGACCGTGGCGATGCGGCTCCCGTCGGGCGAGTGGGCGACCGAGGTGATGCTGCTGCGGTGTGCGTTCAGCTTCTCCAGTACCCTGTCAATCGCCATCTCGTTCGAGGCGTCGATGGCGCCGCCGTACGCCGCGCCGTCGAGCGAGACTACACTCGACCCCTCGATCGACGACTCGGTCGCAATCAAAGTCCCGCCGTGCCGCACCTTGACCGCCCCGCCGCTCGCCTGCGCACCGCCGTTGACGAGGTGCACGCGCTCGAGCTCGAGCGTGCCGCCAAAGGCGACGTCAAAGTGGCGGGAGCAGTTCATGGCGTCGAGGGTTGCGCCGGCGCCCACGCTCCGCAGAGTCATGTGCACGGAGTGCACGCGAAGCTGCGAGCAGACGGCCCACTCGAGGCGGGCTCCCTCTGGCAGCTCGACGACGAGGTCGCCAGGCTTGCCGGTTTGGTTGTTGACCGAGTCGCGGAGCTCGGTGAAAGTGCTCGCGGCGTAGGTAGGCGACAGAGGCGGCGTCGGAGTGAGCGGCGGCAGCTGCGGCGACGCTGGCGGCGCAAGCTGCGAGAAGGAGACGTCGTTCAGCGCCATGTCCGACCTGTAGCCCGACCCCGTCCGGCTGTTGAACCGGTCCTGCGTCGCCGAGGCGGGCAGGGCGACCGCCGCGTCGCGCCTTTCGTCGCCCTGGTCGCCGGTCCTGCTCCAGAGCGTCGACCATCCCGTCTCGTTGTTGTAGGGTAAAAGAGGCGTCGGAGAGAGCGGCGACGCGGCCGCCCTGCCCACGAGCAGCGCCGCGGCGGCCACGCGGAGTTGGGCGGCGGGTGGCTGGAGCGAGGCGACTCGCCCGAGCCGCAAGGCTCCCGCGCCGACGAGGCCCGTCTCGACCAGCCTCCGGGCCTGCCAAGCTGCGTCGGCCGCACACGAGTCGGGCACGATGCTGTTGACGGATAGGAGACCCGACATGGCGCCGCGCCCCCGAGTGTTCAAGGCCTCGTAGGCCACGCCGCACAAGCCGACCATTGCGACAAAGTAGAAGAAGAAGAAGAAGATCTGAGTGCTGCCAGTCAGTGCCACGACCTCGTTCTCCTTGGCGCGCCTCGAGCGCTTCTGGCCGTCGACCTTGTCGGGGCCAGTCTTGCTGGCCGAGGAGCCGCTCCACGACAGCGCCACGACAGAGAAGCCCAGGCACCCCATGAGGGCACCGATGAGGAGGGGAGAGCTGCCGGCCGTGTTCGTCTCGGCCGTGTTGATCTCCGCCTGCGGAAAGGCAAGCGCGTGCGACAGTCCGTCACGCACGCTGGAAGAGGCGCGATGAGTGAAAGCGAGTGGCTTGGCAGGGCACGCAGGGCAGGCCGTGCGGCAGGCAGGCCAGAGGGGTGTGACGGGTTGGCGATACGCGATGCGGCGGCGCGGCAGAGAGCAACGCTGATCGCCTGGTCCACGCTGATCGCCTGGTTCACGCTGATCGCCTGGTCCACGCTGATCGCCTGGTCCGCGCGCTCCATGCCAGGGGCGGCCCAGCAGCCGGGTGGCTCCCCGGACTCGAGCACGAGGGAACCCACAAGGCGGTACCAGGGAGCGCTGCCGATCGTGTCCATGTCGGGTGCCTCGCTCTCTCCCTGAGAAGGGAGAGGGGGGGGTTCCGTCAGGCGCGCAGGAGGAGTGATAGAAGCGAATGCCGCTCAGAGCAGTCAGGGCAGCGCTCAGAGCAGTCAGGGCAGGGTAGAGCGGCGCATGAGGTGTTCTAGAGGGGCGAAGGGTGGGCGAATACGCAGTGCGGCGACGTGGCGAGTGCACTGCGGGTCGCCGATGCCTGGTCACTCCGCTCGAGCTCGGCCTGCTCGACCTCGAGGTCGGCGCGGTCAACGGAGGCGCAGGCGCCCCGCCAGTCGGGAATCTCACTCGAGAAGGAGAAGAGGTCAGTCGACCCACGAGGGGTGGCCACCGCATCGGGCGGTGCCTCGATCTTGTGCTCCTGGCTTGTGGCTCGAGAAGCGTTTGCCGGTCTGTCAATCGCCCGCCGCTCACCGCCAGCGCGGGGAAGAGAGAGGTTGACGAAAGCTGTCGGGCTCGAGATGCTCGACCGGCGTGCGGCAACAGCGGAGACTAGGAAGGCCAGTGTGAAGGCCATTGGCAAACGGTGAGCGGCTTTGGGCGTCCTGGATCGCCAACGTCGTCCTGGATCGCCAACGTCCTGGATCAAGGTGGCAAATCCAGCGATACTCGAGTAGCACGCTTCGGAGTACCGACGGAAGGCCGAAAGGTTTCTCATTTTTCTCCGCTTTTCTTCATGTCCCCCCCTCGGTCCCCTCCCCCGGGTACTCCAACCAACCCCTGCCTAGACGAGTACAGCTAAAGAGTACCCGGGGCTCCCCATACGGGAGAGCCCCAGCAGAAACCCGGGCAAAGCACCGGCATTCCTTTCGTAACGCGTTCGGCCCGCAGTCTCGCTCGGCGCGCGCTCCTCTGCGCCCACCTAAATTCCTGAGTCGCTGCACCCCGCCAGAGCACCCACCCACCTGGCCGCCACGCGCAGGAGCGGCTACACAAGTCCACAATCGAGTCGCACGGTCCGCCTCGCTTGAACGGCTGCTTCCACAGGAGGTGCAAAAGCCGCCGCGCTCCACTCCCAGCCACAGCCTGGCCACCCCGCGCGGACACGGGGCGCCCCATAGCCCCACTCGACTGCCCGGCCGCTCACACACCGCCTCGGCCGCCCACGCCGACGCACAGACCCACCTGCGCCCGGCTATGACGCGTGCGACCAATGCGAATGCAGGACCATGGGCGACGCCGGCGAAGGCGGCGCGGACGCCGACGTGGAGATGGAGACGGACGAAGAGAGCGAGGAGGAGGGCCGCAGCGGCGAGGAGAGCGAGCTCGAGGGTTCTCGTCGTGAGAACTTTGACCCTGTCGTGGATCGGCAAAACATGGCCCGGTCAGACCCGTCTGGACCCTTCGAGGTGGCCGCGCTCTGGGAGCTGCTAAGGTCGCCGCGCTATGAGATGACCGTTCCCCTCAAGAACGGTGGCAGGCGTGTGCACACGCCCGCACCGCTGCGGGTGTTGCGGGAGGGTGGGCTCTCACGCTTCCGCTCTCTCCGCTGCCTGCGCAGTTGCCGAGTCAAGCTGCGCCTCGGCTGGCGCTGGGCCGAGCTGCTCGGTCTTCTCGCCGCGGCCCTGGACAAGTCTATGGCTGCACTCGCCGGCGGCAGCGGCCCTATCGACCTCGGCGATGCGCCGTGCTCGCGGTCACAGCACGCCAACGCCATCCTCTCCCACGCCACCTACCTCCTCGGCATTGTCCACATGCAGAGCCGAGGCGGGCGCCCGCCGCCGCCTCGATGCACTGTCCAGCCGGCCAAGTGCACCGTAAAGGAGAACTCGACCGGCGTGCCCGCCGAGCAGCTGCTCTATGCACGGTTCCACAGCGATGCGTCGGCGGTGCTGCGACTCCTCCTCGCGCGCTGGGCCGACGGCTCGCCGGATGAGGCCACCCTGGCTCAGAACAAAGGGCTCGTAGACGAGCTGCGCGAGGCCGGGACGCGCATCGGAAGGTCCCTTCCGCGTGAGCGGAGCTCACTGACCAAGGCGCAGTGGCGGAAGCAGGCGTTGCTGCTCCTCAAGGGCTCGGGCGGCGCCTTCCTGCAGGAGGAGGCGAGCGGCGCCGTCGATGTGCTCGAGAACCTGTGCGACTACCTGCTCCAGTGGCACGACGGGCAGGGAGAGATCGCTCCTGAGTACTCTTTTGAGGACATGCACACGCACGCCTTTGCAGAGGACTCGGTCCTGAAGCGCATCTTGCAGCTGCTTTGGCAGCTCCGCGACCGAGGCATCGACGTCCGCAGCCGCCCGCGCAAAAAGCCGCTCAAGAAGGGCAAGCACTCGAGCTACTACAAGGCGAGGTTCGCGGTGCCTGCTGCTGCTTCATCGGACGCGAGCAGTGGCGATGACGACGAGGAGCTGCCCGCTCGCTCGGTTGCTGCTGGCGCTGGCGGCGGGAGCGGTGCGAGCGACGACAGCGACGAGGAGGAGCAACTGCTCCGCGCGGCGAGCAGCCTAGTGGCTGCGCGAGGCGACGGTGCCGCTGCAGCCTCCGCCGGGCAGTCCGGTCGCGCTGAGTCGCCCTCGCTGGTTGACCGAGGCGGTGGCGAGAGGGATCGAGGTGGTGGGAGCTCCGGAGCGTGTGGCGAGGCACCGGACCGGGAGGCAGCGGACCTGCTGATGCAGATGCAGGCGACTGGAGGCAGCGCTGGTGACGGAGGAAGCGCTGCCGAGCGCCTCGATGGGGCTAACCCGACGCGTGAGACTCGGCCGCACGATGAGGCGCGGCCGCAGGGGGAGACTCGGCCTCAAGACGAGGCGCGGCCGCAAGGGGAGATGCGGGCGCAGGTGTCGAGCCTGGCGCGCAGCAAGCTGCGGCACCTCAAGGCAACGCGCTCCGCGTCAGGCAAATTCTCCGACTTTTACGTTGACTTCATCCACGCCGTCCTTGGCACCGGCGAGAAGGCGGTTGACATCGCCGCCTGGTCGGAGCTTGGTGCCGAGTGGCGCCAACTCGTGCAGAAATACCGCACCTACGTCGCGGGTTCGCCGCTGCTTGCGCCGCTGCTGCAGGAGGTGCCCCGAGACATGCGCCGTCTCGATCACCCACAGCCGTCGAGGAATTGGCCATACATGCCCGCGGCGGACGACTCGGACGCGCCGGACGACCTGATCGCGGGGGCGTGGCGGCTGCGAATGGGCGGCACGGGGTGCCTGACCCAGGAGGGGTTCCTCGGCCAGTCCCCGCAGCTGTTCGCAGAGCTCCAGGAGCTCATCCAAGACTGGTGCCAGGATCTGCAGCTGCCGCCGAGGGCTGCCTCTGGCGGGCCCCCGCGCTCCCCTGCACGAGCGGGCGGTGCTGGCGGCGACGATTCTGCCGGCGGAGAGCCGCAGACGCCGTTCCGGACCCGCTTGCCAAGGGCAGAGACGCCGACGCCGTCCCCGGCACCCTCGCCGTCGCCGGCGCCGGCGGAGGCGAGCGCGGCGCCGCCGCGACCGTCACGCAGAGCACAGAAGCGTGACCGGGGCTATCGGCTTTCCCTCTCAATCATTCCTCTCGTGCACTTGCTGCGGATCGGCTCGCAGAAAGCGGCGCCCTCGTACGCGCGTCTGCGCGCGCTGCTAGACTGGTGCGACAAGGTGCCGCTCGCGAGCATGGAAATGCGCAGCGGGCTGCGCGAGCAGGGCTTCATTCGCTCACAGGCCATGATGGACTTTCTGCTCAAGCGCGCCCTTCGCCGCCAGGTCGTGCGCGCCTCGCTTTCCGTCACGCACCGCCACCCTCACCTCCTCCGCCTTCACTCTAGCCCTCACCTCCACCACCCACACGCCGCCTCCCGCCCCTCCGCCGCCCTCGCCTCCTCCGCCCTCGCTCTCGCCCTCACCGCCGCCGCCCACACCGCCTCTTCCCGCCCCTCCGCCGCCCTCGCCGCCTCCTCCCGCCCCTCCGCCGCCCTCGCCGCCGCCCTCGCTCTCGCCCTCGCCGCCGCCGCCGCCGCCCATGCCGCCGCCCCCGCCCCTCCGCCGCCCTCACATCCTCTGCCCTCGCTCGCCCTCGCCTCTGCCCACGCCGCCGTCACCCGCCCCTCCCAGGCTACGCCCACGCCGCCGCCACCCACCCCTCCTAGGAATTGCCCACGCCGCCGCCCGCCCATCCTAGGCTACGCTGCAGCGCCGCATCGCCGAGCTCGACGTCATGCTCTCCATCGACAACGCCTCCTTTGCCCGCCCTCGCAAGTGGCAGCGGCTCGTCGCGAAGATGCTCCTCTCCCAAAACATGCCGTACACCGCCATGGGCATCACCGAGCTCGACGCACGCTGCGCCACGCGTCCGTCTGGCGAGCCGCGATCGTCGCAAGTGCCCCGCTACCTCTGTGTCACGCCGGGGCCCTATTACAAGGCTGCTGTTGCCGACCCTTGCCCCGGCGCTTTGACCGCCGTACCCGTGGCGCTGCCGCTGCCGGCGGGGCAGGCAGAGTTCGACGCGCTCGAGTGGATCAAGTACGACGGCACCAAGGAGGGAGCGGTTGTCAAGTGGCACGAGAAGACCGGGACGCACCTCCTCGACTGGGACGAGCACTCGCTCTCGCTGCTTACCTTTGTGCCGAAGAAGCAGCAGCTGCGCTTCTACCTGCGGCACTACCTGTACCACCTCGCGCTCAACTCGATCACATACCACGACGCCCTCACGGACATGGACGGCCCGCGACCGGAGCCGCGCAAGATGCAGTTCCTAGAGGGCGTGCCGGGCGAGCCGGGCGAGGTCCGCGTTGCGGCGCACAGCGGCTTCAAGGCGCACCGCGAGAGGGTCTACGGCCACGACGGCACTCCCGTGGTCTCGATGCCTTGCCGCAGGTCAGCGAGGGCGACGCCGTCGCCCGATGGCTGACATCAGTGCAGCGGCAGCATCCTCGCAGGCATCGCGTCGACTTTGACGTGCTCCTCCCGGTGTCGCGCGACGAAGGCAGCTTCGACTACTCGTCCCTCGTGGGTGGCGATGCTGCTGCCAGTCGCGGCGAGCAGGTGGAGCAGGTGATAAGCTCCGCCGCCAACGTGCGCACGCGGCAGCGGGCGCAGCAGGAGGCGGACGCGGAGGAGAGGGAGCGCGGGGCGGCGGCGGCACGCGGGACGGAGATGCGCACCATCCAGGAGCGGCTCGGGCGGCTCAACAGTGAGCGCTGCAAGATTCGGCAGCTTGCGACGAATGCTTCCACGCGAGCTGCCAACGGCCACCTCCTCCAAGGCTTGGACGACGAGGAGGCGGAGCTGGTGGCGAAGCTCGAGCGGCTGCGCCTACTCGCCGAGACGGAGTCGGGGAGACAGCCGGACCACGATGCCTGCCGACGCGCCGCCTCGCGCCCTCCGCCGCGCAGGAGGTCGCAGCCTGCCGCAGGGTCGTCCTCCGTGGCCAGCCAGGCCGGCGGCGGACAAACCCAGCCGACTCAGGTGCTGCAGAGCGTGGCGTCGGCGGCGCAGCGCGTCCTCCGCGACGATGACTCGGACGCGTCTCGGAGTGATGGGGAAGACGAGGGAGAGGAGACGGGAGCGGCAAGCGGAGCTAGCAGCGAGGAAAGTGAGGGCGGAGAGACTGCGAGCAGCGGTTCTGCCTCAAGCGAGGATGACATGCTCGATCCGTCCGAGTAGTAGTTTTTCTAGCAGTCCTCTGTGCGTGTAGAGTAAAGACCTCAGAATGAGTAGCCCATAATATCTCTCCCCAGTTGCCGCACAT